TAAAAGCCAACAAAGGACACGTAGGTTCAGCTTATTCCTAGGAACATTTTATATGAATATTATTTAATTATTTTAGAACTATTATGGTTAAAATTCAGTTAATTTTTGAAGTTATTCAATTTCGTGCACTAAACTATTATTTAAATCTTTTTACCACTTCCTTAAGTCCTAATAAGTAAAATGTACATCACTAGCTAACGTACGCAATGACAAAATTTGTAATTGCCTTAGTCATTGCATTTAGGTTTAAAGATATTTATTACTCATTAAGACAAATGCATGTCACTTACATGAGTACATAGCTGAAAGTAAATTTCGAAGTTGTTCATCAAATTAAATTCACCAAAAATACACACACTTCACCCGTGCAACGCATTCACGATTATTTAAGTCAGTCATTTGCAACAAGATATTCATACAATTGTTTCTTGAATGTGTTGAACGAGCTAACATTTTTTATGTGTGCGGGTAATTTGTTATAAAGTTGGGTTCCTTCAAATGTTAACATTGTATTACCGTAATCTCGCGCGACGAGAGCAGCAGCGGTTGTAAACCTTTTTAAACCTTCTAGTATGAATATCATTATTTAGAGCTTTTCTTATAAAATGCAAGTATTGTATATATACATTTTTAATATTAAATATTTTTGTTTCATTATAGATTTTTTTGGTTTTGTTAAAAAGTGATAATTAAAGAGCACTTTAACGAGTTTATTTTGTAAAATTTGAAGTTCACTTATCCTTGTCTTTACTGTATTCCCCCAGACTTCGATGAGGTAGGTTAAATGTGGCTTTATTAGCGTGTTATATAATGTAAGACGTAATTTATGAGGAATGCATCGGACAATATGACGAAGACAACCACAAAGTGACACCAGTTTCGTTTTCATGTATTCGATGTGGTGCTTCCATGTTAAATGAGTGTCAATTTGTAAACCAAGGTATTTTTCTTGACTTTTCATTTCTAAGGGAATATTATTAGTTGTAAGCGGAGAGTTGGGTGGGAATGAATTTATTTTTGGCCCTAAATAAAATGTAACAAGTTTTTGAAATGTTTATGGTTAATAAGTTATATATAGGGTGGTTAAGTCGTCTTGAGCCTGCGACATTATGTCGTGTATTGATGAACCAAAGTAAAATAGGCAGGTATCATCGGCGTAAAGGGTAATATGGCCATTTAAACCTAGGTCATGTATGCTGTTAATATAGGTCAAAAAGAGCAACGGGCCTAAAATTGATCCTTGAGGAATTCTACAAGTTATTGGTAATGAATTACTTTGAATGTTGCCTATTTTGACTACTTGTGATCTATTTTCCAGGTATGATTGAAACATGTTCAAAACTTTGCTGGTAATACCGATTCTTTCTAACATTTTAATAAGCAATTTATGACCGACCGTATCGAACGCCTTTTTTAGATCTATGAATATACCTAGGACTATATTTTTTTTGATCTAAGCTATGTTTTATTTTAGTTATAAGATCAATTGTTGCAGTAAGTGTGCTACTTTTTGGCCTGAAACCATATTGTCGTTCAGATATAAAGTTAATAGAGTTCAGATACTTTTGTAATCTTGTGTGTAAAACCTTTTCAAGAACTTTTGATAAAACTGGCAACACTGAGATAGGTCGGTAATTGCCTGGATCAGTTTTTGGTCCTGATTTGTAGATAGGAGAGACTTTAGCTACTTTTAGTGTATCTGGGAAAACACCATCAAGAAGTAATTTATTAAAGCATTCCATTATTTTGTTTATTATCAGATTTTTTTATGTCAGACAAATCAAAATTAGTCACGGGTTTTCGGGTTTTCGGGCTGTCTGGTCTATACGCTAGTATATTGCAATGCAAAGACTATGCCATACAATAACAAACAACCACAGACTATGAATAATCGGTTTTGAAATAAATCAAATATATAAAATTCACGTAAATATGTATTGGAATTGGTTCTTTATTGGCAAATATATATTCTATTTACGGTACTAATTGCGTGTCAGCCCTATATTGTCACCTGTTATCCTGGAAAAAAAATGGAAATCAAAATAGTATCTACTGACTCCAAGATTGTGGCAACACTACCTCCTCTCAGTCAGCCATTTTGTAATCAGTACGAGTCACAGACTAATATGATGAAGAGATGAGTCGTACTAGGTAAATTTTGTACTAGGTGTACTTAGTCTAATTCCGTACAAATACTCGATCGAAATACCTGTTCCATTTAGTCCATGAAGTACGCATAGTTTGGTATTGTTACACTTTAAAGTATGCTTAATCTTTACGTACAGCCGATACGTAAAGGTAATAGTAAACATCCATTCAACTTTACATTGGCTTAAGAATGTCAACGCAAGATTTATCCACATTATAGAAATCGAGGTTGTTGGCGTATAAGGTTTCAATATTCTTTTTTCAGAGTTATCCGATTTTCGTCTTTGTTTTCGTTTATATTTTTATTTATTTTTTGTTTCGTTTTTTTAATTACCTGTCTACAATCATTGTTTTTTATAAACGTGAATAAAAATTCGTCTTAAGAATTTTTAAAACTAAATTGTATTTTACAAATGTTACACGTCTAATGTATAAATAAAAAATAAATCCAAAGTTCTTTAACCACATAACTATACTTCATTATCGTCGAAAACCTATTGATAAATAGGTCGAGTAGGTATCAATACGGTGCCGAGATCACATTGGCATGAGTCCGTACTAGACACTCGATGCATCATATGGTCTCCATTCGAATCGAGTATTTACAAGTACCTAGTGTATAAAATCTGCGTAGTATTTGTTTGAAGTTGCCGGGACTAGTCTCGAGTATTGACAGACAAAGATAGAAAGACTGCGGAACAGTGTAGTTAAAAAAGGACAGAATATATTCTTACACAACATGAGTTTGTGTCGCGTTACTTTTATATACATTGAAATATAGTCAAATTCAAATGACTGACACGCGAATGATTTAGGAAAATACAATGCTATCTTGCTCCACCGTTCCGCCCGGTACTTGTTTGCTTTGAGCGGGCCGCAGCGCCGATACCGTGCGACGTGTAGGTACAGTAAGACTAGGTGGATCAAGTCTTTTAAAAGTTGGTACAGGTGCAACCTAATCTCGTTTAATACCTAGTGCCTCGATCTGTTCTAGTATATACGCTTCATCTCTAATATGATGTTTAGTACGAGTTCTGACGCCGCGCCGTTAGTGCTAAAGAGTATAATAAATAGGTTAGGGCCTTGTATACGCTTTCGTTCAGCTTTTGTTATTTTCTGTTATCTACTGTTTTTTTTAAATGTTTTCGTTAAGTTTATGTTATGTTTGGTTACACAATGCCGAAAAGAACGAAAAAGACTGTTGAATAGTGGATGTCGCGAATTCGTTATTAGCTTGCGAGATTATTTTGAAGGTGAGTGTCCAAATGGCGGACCATTGTTTCTTGTAACCCAAGTTGGCAACACAGTTGCGGATGTTTTTGGTATCGGTCGTGCAACGGTGTCACGTATAACGCAAGAAAAGTATGGCAAGCCATCATCAACTCAAACGATAGAGGAAGACATGGAAAAAATTGTCCAAACCGAATAAGAAAAAAAGGAGAGTTCCGAGTATCGCTGCGATTGATGACATTGATACCGCCGCAATACGCGTATTATAAACGTGCTGAATATCCAACACTAAGAAAATTAATAGTATCCCTTAAAGACTCTGATTTATTTAAAGGCAGTTTGCAGTCATTGGCCACCATACTACACAAAATTGGCTTCGCTTATATAAAATACGATTAATGAAAAATAATAATGGCGCGCACAGATATTGCTTTGGCACAGATGGACTTTTACATATTTCAAATTGGGTAAAGTCGCATTTCTGGACGAGACGTGGCTTAATGTCAGTGCACAATCAGTCACCAAAGTGCGCGAAGGCAAAGGACAACGCCTGATAATTGCGCACGCAGGGACGGCAAACGGTTTCGTACCAAATTGTTTGTTGGCTTTCAAATCAACAAAAAAAAAACTGAATATCATGAGGAGATAAATTTGGATAAGTTCAAAGAGAGGTTTTTAACATTACTGGAAAATCTTCATGAACCACATATGATTATTATGGGTAATGCGCCGTACCATTTTTTACAAAAGAACAAAGCTTCACCATCCAGCAGCCGAAAACTAGAGCTTATATCTTGGCTGCAGGGCAAAGGTATTGAAGCCAATGAAAATATGTTGAAACACGACTTAGTCCAATGAACTTGATTTAGGTTGTGCACCATTATTTTTAATAATAAATATTTTTAAGCTACAATTCCTTGTTTCATTTCACACTAAGCCCTTTTACAAAAATTATTTCGACTCGCACGTATTACATTAAATAGTCTGACTGACCGAAAAAAATATGCACGAGATGAAATCGTTATTGTGGGAGAGATTTTAGCATCGTTTTAACAGTGGTAGAGCCACGCGGCAGCTTTTGCTGTCGCACGGATGGGCCGGCTCCAACCGGGGTGGTACCACGACCTCACAGAATACCAGCGTAAAGTAGAGGTTTACCTCTGCGTTTCGTTTGGTGAGTGCAGGTGGCCGGAGGCCCTTTTTACTGGGAATGAGGCATTCCATCTTAGTCCTCACGGGTGACAACGCATCTGCATTTTGATTCGCAAACGAGGATAGATGAAGATGTCTATGGGCCGCAGCAACCACTTACCATCAGGTGGACTGTGTGCTCGTTTTTCACCCTTATCCTATAAAAAAAATCGTATTAATAATTTATTATTAATTCAATAGGTAAGAAATTGTTCAAAATTCCAAATCCATACAGCATAAAAATGCAACTATCGATTAAAAGTTCTATGAAAATAATAGTCGAATAAATTCATTAACGATTATACACCACCCATCCCTATAGTGAGCTGTCAAAATTACTTCGCACCACACTTCACAGATAATAAATCTGATAAAGAGTTTATATGTTTTTGACGTTCGAAATCAGTGAAGCCTGAAGTTTTAGCTTTTCAATGATTTGTCCCGACTTTTTAGAATTTCAGGTTTGGTGTTTTTTAAAATAAATTTTAAAAGAAAGTAAACTATTGATATCTCGCATTTTCTAAAAAGTTAGATTTCATGCAGTGTGTTCGTTTGTACTAACCTACAAATCGACCTTTTAGATCCGAGAGGTTATTCAACCGGATTATAATTTTTATAAAGTAAGATTGTACAAAATAAAATTTGTTTTCAACAATTAATATATTTTTTGTTCGCCAGGACATCCTTAAAAAGATGCGAGTAATGGATGATAAAATAGTATACGCTTTGAATACTTCCATTCCTACTGAATCATTTAGGACGAAAGTTAATCCCAGTTCAGCTTGCCAGGAATTATATATTCAAATTCAAGAAAGTCACAAAGAAAGAGAAAATGTCATAAAAAATTGTATTGTTGTAACTGCTGATTCTGTTAAAAAGTTAAGAGCAGCAAAAGACGGTAAACCTGATGATTTTGAGGTTTTAAAAAATTTAAAGTCTGAACAAAGAAAGGTACATATTATTATGAAATATTATTTCTTTCACAGATTTTAGCTTTAGTCTAACGTATTTGTTTCCAGTCTCAACGAAGTTGATTTGATGCTAGAGCAACATTTTACTGAACATTAAAAATATTTTTATTAGGACTAAGTACCTAATACTTCTTTACAACATTTTACTTTTTAAGAATGCATCAATTACAATGATAAACTTATTTTTTCTTTTTTATTGAAAGAACTAGCTATTCACCCTAGTTTTGTGCACGTGATTTCTGGTTAATCAATATAGTGTCACCTATCAGGTCCAATTATGAAACAAAACCATCCACAGATCTACTCAAACACACAAAATATTTCATCAAAAACAGTCGAGCCATTTTCAGTAATTGATGGAGTGTATACTAGGTATTTCTCCTGTTTAGTGGAGGGATTTTACATTAAATGGCTCATGGATAAACATCAAGAGGCCTTAGAAAGATCAAGGAAGATGGCAATCGGTTTTGATGTTGAAGTGGCTTGTATATCAAACACAGTAAAATATTACAGTTTTTAAAATAAATTAAAGTTGAATTATTTGTTACATGTGCAAAATCAGTACCTCTACCGATACAGTGTATCAAAAGTCTACTACTAAACATAGGTCTTGCTTCATAGGGGTATTTGCAATAGTTGCCATGCTTGGCAAGCGATTTAGCAACCGCAATTTTTTATTTTTTGTTTGTTGTGAAGATGTTGCTGCCCATCTCATTGTTTATTTCGTTCTACCGCCTCTTACGTCACCCATGGGACAAAATGGTTATAATTTAATATGAGTATTATAAGCGTCTCGCGACAATTCGAACTCGGCCGCTGTAGTAGTACTTACTTAGGTACGTAAAGAAAAATGGTGCATTGGTACTATATAATTCTTTTTTTTCAGCACGTAAGACCTCTGTTGAACAAGGATCTCTCTTGTTGGAATGAGAATTTACCTTTGTTGTATCTCTTGGAGGTGAATTATAGTATCTTTTTAACCGACTTCAAAAAGGAGGAGGTTCTGAATTCGAGTGTACATTTTTTTTGTATTTATGTGACCCAATACATTCGCAAATTGTGAACCAATTTTAATGATTCTTATTTTATTAAATAGGTTATACTTTCAAGGGTGGACCCATATAAATTTGGAGAAAAAATTTCACCTCTGAGGGTAGAAAAAAATAACTTCTATTTTAGCAATTTTAAATCAGTTTTTACTTTTTGTCAAAAGTTATAATTATCTTAGTAACCAGTTTGAGTATTTTACGTCTAGCGTAAATAGTTGGGTATACCGCCATCTACATATATAAATGTTAATATATTTTATATGCCGCCTCCATACACAAAAAAAATTAAAAATTTGGTATTGTTCTTAGTTCGAAATCGGTGTATAAATAAATTGCAAGTTTAAATTTAATTTTGGAATTTCATTTTACAATTATTTTTTGGAGAGCCTACTACACACTGGATACGGGAATTAAAAGGGGAGTTGCCAATACAAAAATTAGTGAACATAAAATGTTGCAAGTAAAGTACACAGATAATAATTAATACATACAGACTACAAATAAATACTAATGTTTGATAATTTATTAAACAGTCAGAGTTATAGAAAACGCTGATCAAAGAAAGTTTAATGCTGCCATAGACTATAGCGTGTATAAGAAAACATCTTTTACACAAAAATATATTACGATCTAGACTTGAGACCCTAACTGCAACCACTACTTTTTTACATATTATGAAACATATTTGTTAGTTTTAATAATTATTTTCATTTTTCTTTTCAGTTACGTCTTTTACAAACGGAGCTTAGTGTGGAAGAAGTAATCAAAGAAAAGACTTCTAAACTATTTAATGAAAAATGTAGATCATATTTTAAGCCAAATGATTTATGAAGACTTAATTACAAATACAAACAGTGTGGAACTGAATTTTCTGTAAATAATTTTATAAATAGATAATAGCTTAATCAAAATGTTTTATTTACTGGCTAAAAGCATGGTTTTGTGGAAATTTGCAAAGCTGATAATGCAATATATACTTAGACCAGTCAAGCCAATGGGCGGTTTTCCATTTACCGGCACGGCTTTTGGGCAGTACTAACACAGACTTCTGTTCTACAACACATAAAATGATCTCCTCAAGTGGTCGTATTTGTTTGTTATATCTCTTAGATTTAATACGAAAATGTAATCAACGTAGAGAAATCAAATCTTGAATTCTTCCAATCTTAAAAATAAAATACTTAGGAAGAACATATTATACCCTATTTTAAAAGTTGGAAATGGACTCTATAAAATATTTCAACTGATTCCGCTTGAACGAGAAGACATATCATAATTTCACAAGTCAATTTCGAGCACAGAATACTTTACTCCTAGCGGCCTCATTCTCAATGCTTTCCTTCTAATTCGGCTAGCGCAGACGCACATATGCATAGGCTTGCAATACGTACACAATACACATGCAGTTTTGCCGGCCGGCATTGAGTGGGAAGCTTGCTGTCCCGGCACCAGTGGGAAGCTTGCTGTCCCGGCATCAGTGGGAAGCTTGCTGTCAGCCACCGGCGCCGGTAAGTGGAAAAACCATATATTTTAAAACAAATATTATATATTTTAAAAAAAACATCTTTGCTTCCCCCGCAGCCGTGCCGGTGAATGTCAAACCGCGCTATGGACGAGTAATGCGCCTAATGCTACAACTACAAACAAAAAAGTCTGTCACTTGATGTGGGGCGAGGAAACGTAAAATCATAGATATAAGAAAAATAGAGGATATGAAATGTGGTCACGTGATCTGAAGTCAAGTGTTTCACAAATATGGCGACGACTCCACCCCATAGACATAGTATCTTATAGACTAAACATTCAGTGACGTCATCTGCGTGTGAAAGGAATGCACGTATATAGTTAGACATAAGAGTAAGGGAGAAGCAAAACAATATTTCTTGTCTTTTTCTAAGTATACGTTTTTGATTGTTTTCCCTCCTTTATTTGACATTAACGATGTCAAGCGTTTGTGATTTTCATTAATATTATAAGCAAACAGGTAATTGAATTCAGTGTTTTTCGTGGGTTTTAGTTATTAAGTAAGGTAAAAAGATGGTAAGTTGTAGCATTTTAGGATGCAATAGCATCAGTCAACGAAAAATTGATAATATTACCTTTCATCGGTAAGTTTGTTTTGTGCTTACATTTGCTATTTGTACTGATTAATATCTGTTGTTTTGAATATAAAGTGTAACATTTCATGTTTTTAATGATCTTTGTGATGTATTTTGTCAAATATTTCGACTCCCAAATTGTAAATTCTTCATGATAATGCTCCTTAATTTGAATGGTCATTGCAAAGCTTAAAGTCATAACAAACGTGTACTTTTTGACTTGGTAGGATTATGGAAACTTTAGGGATATCATCGAGTACAATAATATTTCCCATTGTTCAATAATAATTATTATTGTGATTAGTAGTTATGTACATAAATATGAATCACATAATGTTATACATATGCATACACTTTTATGTTCAGCTTTAAAGGAAACTCTCCTTATTGGGCAATAATATACAACTCTTCAATCATTTTCTATATTAATAGATGTCACAAATAATATGTAATTATCAACCTGAAAACATGTTTGGGTTCAAGTACATAAGTATTGGACAAAGTATATTTAATTTCACAAAATATGTATTGCCTGAAATCACATGCACAAAACTTTATTGTATTCCATTAATTCTATCATACATTAGCAACAATTACATTACAATATTTATTAAAAAATAACTAAATATGTCATACTTATATAAATATAGATAAAATAATAAATAAATAAATAAGTCTTAATCTTAAGGTACACAATAACACAACAACATAAGATAATATTCTCAATTAATGATGTAGAAAAAATTTGATGATAATATATTTACCGTTACTATTAGTCATTATCAAAAGCCAAAAGTTATAGGTTTTATGATTGTTGTCTAGCTTGGCAGGAGGATTGGCAACTGCAGTTATTTTGCAGACAAACTACGTGGGAGGTCTATGTTCAGCTGTTGAGGACATTTGTTAGGCTGTAAATGTATTAATTAACAATATCTAAAGCTTAATATGTACATTTTTTTAAAATGTTTGGTATGAATAATATTATAATTACATTTACATATACTTGCTATTTAATTAAATCAATTGATATTGTATTAATTAGGTTGGTATTGTATTTATGCACAGATACTCATACTTGAATTTTTTTTAAATACCTTGATATAAAAGTGTACTATATATTTAATATATTAATTTCTTTTAAATATATTATTTTACAGCTTTCCTAAAGAATCAGCTATCCCTAATTGTTGGATAATCGCTACTGTTGGTGATTATAGATAACCAACAAAACTTAGCAGTGTATGCTCAAAACATTTTGAGCCTCATTGTTTTAGGCGGACTAAATATGCTTAATTTATGTAATTTATAATATAATTAAGATAAAATATTTAAAATGTTATAATTTATTGTTGTGCCTTGTTTTTTCCCCATAAGTGATATAAGTTTGACCTTGTTGGTAATTATGATTTTTGACATTGTTCTGTATGTATTAAAAATTGAATAGCATTGCTTAATTTATTTATGGTTCTTGACTTTTTATTTTCAAATTTCACTGTTATCATTCTGTATTATTATGACTTGTAATAATTTTATTGTAATTTATATTAATTTTCTTTGTGTAATCAGCATGACAATGACAAAATATTTAATTATAGATAGATTGATTAAACATAAATTCTCATTTACAAATGTAGGAACTTTATCTGTACTACCATGTTTTATGCAAGTAAAGATTTAAATTAAATAAATAAATTTATGCAATAATAATTGTAAAACTGACTGTAAATGCCTACCAATAAGATATTTAGTCCCCCCCTTAATCCTTTTTATAAAGATGTTATAAACAATAATGTGGAAATAAATTATGAAATAAATAATTTATTAATAATAATTTCCATTTAATTGACATAAATAATGTAATAAAGATGTTTTTGACAAGAGATATGTATTACCTATCTAAGTATAGTTTAGGAGTTGTACGTTATTATTTATACCACTAAAATATATTATATACAAGGCATATAATATATATATATATATATATAGGAAAGTTTTGATAATTAATTACCTAATATTTAAGTACATATTTTACATACTCCTACTTATTAACGATATCACACTTTGTGCTAGTAGCATTTTCACTTAGTACCGTCGAAATCCAAAGAGTTTATTAAATGTCCAGTAAAATCGTCGATGCGCTGTTGAATTCGGAATGATGATTCTGTTTTTACGTCGTTTCCGCCCGTAGTTTTTAGTCACAGAATGTATTTTCAAGATAAATGAATTAATCATCTGAATTATAAAAGAACATTTTTTTATGGTAACAAATAAGTTTTTTGTATGAATTAAGTGCTATGAATATAAATAAACCCAGATTGGGGGAAATGGAATAATATCTGGTAACCCAGGGAAAGTACCTCCCGCCTATTTCTATCTCAAAAGCATACGCGAATGCTTTATCTAGTCAATCCTCTATCTACGCTCCACCCACATGAAATTGTGTTGTTTTTGTCGATATTTTCAGTATCGATGCTATATAAATTATGACATATTGTCCATCTCATAGGTATATATTAAATAAACAAATATTAGATCACTACACTATTGCATTGGGTTAATCCTGTAATAATAGTTGTATTGAGATAATAAATAAATAAATCTTACGTTCTACTCAGAATAGGTAAGTTTTAAAACTGTAATTGCTTTAAGATATGGTGAAGCAACAGTCAAAGGTGAGCGAAGAGATCAAGGAAAGAGCACTTGATTGGAACTTTAACTCCTTTCTTTTCAGAACACGTATACGACGTGCAGCAGAATATTATACTGAGTTCGTGCAACGAGCTAACGTTTTTTCGTAACGACGGCAATCTGAACATAGGCACTCCATCCGTGCGTCCCTGAGTCGACGCATGCATTTTTTTCTTCTCTGCAGAGATTAACGAAACCACCACTACAGGCAATGTATTAGGCTTTGTATGATTTTTTTTTGTCCAGCCCATGCTGTCCCACTACTAGGCAGAAGTCTCCAATAAGTTTTTCCCGGTGGTTTTGTCCTGCATTACATCGAACCAGCCCCCACGGTATGCGTCCAGGTTGCGTGAATTATATCATATATATAGACTTTATAGCGGCTGGGAAGTTAGTTGCGAGCGCAAGTCCTGTACCTTCACGCTTCGCTTTACGTATAGTGATCTGAGACACCATCAAGTTTTGTTTCAACTATATCTGCACGGACTAGCACTCGCACTTAACTTCCAAGTCGCCATAAAGATTCGACAACACCTTTCTTTCGTGGTAATGGCCGGTTACCAGTTCATTTATCTTGATTTATTTAAAGTTTGTGGAACATGTGTTCTTTCATACATAATTACTAGCCGTCATCTCGCTTTTTTTTTTTGATAATAAAGATTATTTCTCTCAGTAATCTAATCGAGTGGAGTAGCCCCTTTCTAACCATATCACCGTTCACACAATCCATTAAATCTAAAATCACACTAATAATAAAACACAGTTCGCCGTTATTTCGCTTCGAAGTATTCTCTTGTATCGCCAATTCAATACTGCCCTGGTCGTGGTCCATACCGGCTTTATATAGGGCCTCAGACAGTTTCCAGAACCTTCTACTGTAGCGACATCTAGAATGTTCGAGTACATATCGGTCCCGAAATTTCTGGAAGGATCTCGACTCTCCTAGTTCTGCTACTCGACACTAGAGGGCGCTAGTGTAACTAGTGTTGCCATGTACAAGACATTAATAGTGGCGCGCAACACTTTCTTTTACTCGACACTAGAGGGCGCTAGTGTAACTAGTGTTGCCATGTACAAGACATTAATAGTGGCGCGTAACACTGCCCCCTCCTAAGACATGCTCGTCCCGAGCATTATTGGCCCCATAATAACGCGCCAGTCGATCCACATGGACAATCTTAGAAGTACCTCTGACACCTGTCTGTATCCGGTAGGTTACGTCATTGATCCTTGTCACAATCCGGTACGGTCCGTCCCATTTAGCTTGAAGCTTAGGAGATTTCCCTTTGCTGCGAACTGGATTGTGTAACCACACTAGTGAACCTTCATCAAACCCCTTGTTCATTTTGCGGTCATACCGTGTTTTCATCTTCTCAGACGTTTGCTGGCCCGTCTGTCTGACGTGCTCATAAATGTCATTCATTTTGTTCCGTAAGTCATTTGCATAATCGGTTATACTGTGTGGGGCATCAGGTGGTATTCCGGTGATCAGGTCTGCAGGCAGCCGCAATTCTCTCCCAAAGTTTACGAAAGCTGGTGTCACTGATGTACTTTCGTGAACAGCGCTTCGATATGACAACAAAAACGGTTGTATGTGCCTGTCCCAGTCTCGTTGCCGTTTTTCCACAACTTTTGCTAGGTACCTCTCCAATGTCTGATTAAATCTTTCTACCATTCCATCAGATTGTGGGTGGTAAGAAGTTGTTCGTGTTTTCTGAGTACCCATAACTCGGCAAGTTTCCTGGAATATTTGAGACTCAAAATTCCTTCCTTGATCGCTGTGAATCTCTAAAGGTACTCCAAAACGACAGAAAACTTCATGAACTAGTTTATCTGCAACGGTTGAAGCTTCTTGATTTGGAATGGCGAAGACTTCTGGCCACTTAGTGAAGTAATCCATCACAACCATGAAATACTTGTTACCACTTTCAGTTTCTGGAAACGGCCCCGCAACGTCAATGGCTATCCTATACTAGAGAAACGTTCCTAAATCAGTGACCTTGAAATGAATGAAAGGCACCGAGTTAGGCGTTGCATTTCTTTCTAATAAAATTTTCATGATACAATATTTTGTGGATATTATTAGTGTATATAGCATCACGGAAAACGAAATATGTATTTTATTTCAATATGGAAAGTGCTGAATAGTGTTATAATCACATTCCGTATAATATTTTGATTACATTATTGCTTCACTACAGTATCAAACCTTACGGTAACTAGCGGCGGCGTTTACTTTCTTGTCATTTTCGATAGATAAAATGGAAAGATTGGTTAGTCGCGCTTGGCTCATTGTGGACCTTAAGTAAGATTTTATTAACTTGAGTTTTGAAAAGTTTCCTTCACATGAAACTTAATAGTAAAAAAATCTTAGACACAGCGCTAGATTTGGAACAGATTCAGAATAGCCCAATTTTACGAGAAAAACTCCAATGAATTTGATTTTGCAACCGAACCGCTTCTTGGAAAGAAATGATGGCAGCTTTCAAGTCGTAAAATCGCCAAAATTATATATCCTGCAGAAAAATCATCGTAGATTTTTGTCAGGTTTTGAACTATTACACGAAGATCTTCATCTGGTGACGTTAGCAGAGTGTAAGGCTGAACAACACTAAATGTTACGAGAATATCATCCATTGCTCTGTAGCGATAGTCTAGTTCCTCGTAAAATATGTCAAGACATTCTAACATAGCTCTCTGCAGCTCCTCTGGCAATGTGAGTCCAGCGTAAAAGTAAAAAAAGTAAAGTTGCAGCCTATTAACGTCTCACTGCTGGGCACAGGCCTCCTCTCATTTCTGAGAGGGTTTTAGGGCAAGGTTTCACGTGTCTTCGAAATATTTTTTTCTTATTTCTCAGACATGCAGGTTTCCTCACGATGTTTTCCTTCACCGCCGAGCACGTGGTAAATTAGCACTTAAAATTGCAATTAACAATTTCATTGGTGCCGGCGGGGATCGAACCCGGGTTGATCGAGTACTGTGGAGTTTAGAGCCAGCGCTAACTGAGCTACCAGTCCAGTATATCGGGTCATTTCTCCTGGTAAACGTTTTCGATAACTCCTCATTCCTCTTCTTCCTTCAATCGAAATGTCCACATTCTCACATTTTATGTTACGTACGTACGTAGGAAATAGTTTTTTCCACTAGTTGAATACGTTAACTTTGAAGAAAAATTTTTGGGCTTTGATTTTTATCTCATACATATTGCTACATATTGCTTTTGTGTCTGACTAACTTCTTTTAGGATTTTACACCAAAAGGAAAGCTACTCGTAACATAAAAAACTGAAGTCACACAAAGCTGATAAGAGTGTAGATACTCCTTCTTTTGTATCGACGTTTTCTCTGTTGGTGCTGGGGTCATATATATCTTCGAGTGTTTATACTAGTTTTTTTTTAAAATTATTCTGCAGTTTAACAGCGTCATGCTTAGCAATTCATCTTGTCTCTGAGTCTTTTGACGGATACGCCTACACTTTTTATTAAAGTTTCCCATTGACGTATTGATGATGAAAAGAACCTGCAAACTCTTTCTACTGTTCCGAAAAAAAGTTAAACTTGAATTAACGCTCCCTAAGTGAGTGCACTCCACATAGATTTAGCGAATAATGAGCACAAAACTATATAAGTAGTATAGTTGTAGCACAAATGGGTCGGCTCGACCGGGGAAGGACCACAGACTTACAGAATACCAGAGTAAAATAGTAGCTCAATACTGATGTATTTCGTATGGTGAGTGTAGAGAACCAGAGACCCTTTTTACTGGAAAAGAGGCATTCCATCTTGGTTCTCACGGGTGACAAGGCATATGCATTTTGATTCGCAAACGAGGATAGATGTAGATGTCTATGACCCACAGCAACCACTTACCATCAGGTGGACTGTGTCATGCTCACAGAACACTATTACTCCTACGGAGAAGAACGCCAACTTCATATAAAATAAAATGGATATACCCACTAGCTCCATCTATAGTCGGCCCACCTGCAAAATTTTCGTGGCGGGAAAATTTGAACGTTGCTCTTTTTTTTTTTGGGGGATTATTTGAGGTATTTTTTTGGGTTGCCTATCCCAGCGCTGAATAAAAGAACAATAAATTACAGTTTTCTATTTATTTATTCAAAATACAAATTAAAATTAAAAAATATACGTAACTTAAAAAAAGTACTTTACAAAACTGGTGTTTTAGGTATAAATTATAGAAATGACTAGTAATTTCCAACAATATGTTCTACCCACTAATTACCTATATGAGAAAAAGATATGAAAGCATGTACCACCTTTTCTCATAACTTTTCTTTTTATAAGTCTGGACCCAAAGGGTGTTATCAGGACCATAATAATAAGCCTACAATGTCTGTCTTGTAGACTTAGTATTATAGTCCTGATGGAATGTGACCACCATACATGCTGGCTACCTAATAGCAGGTGGTTCTAAGGTACAAAAACACATTTCTTGAACATGCATAATACTATAACACAAGAGACGGAAAACAAAATTTCTCCAGCAACTTAGTTCTATCTATAGTCATTAGATAAGTTCAAACAAGAAAATAAAATTCAATATTTATCACAATATTTCAATTACCTATGTAAAACAATGATAAAAATAATATTATATATAATTTACAATCATGAATGAATTGATATTATAAATATATTTTTCTCAAGCAACTTAATTAATAAAAAAGCTCTTGCATTGCACCTGGCAAAGTGTAAAAACTCATAAATTAATTTTAACAATATTTGGTTGTCTATTTATTACCCTGAATTAACACTTAAAATGTCTCTTTATATAATTTCTTATAATTTATTTTAGTTGATTAATTTAGGTGACTAGACTTTTATGTAAAATTCTGCAATAAGCTTTGTCAAATAATTTATATAAAATGCAGAACTACTCTTCAAATTACCTGTTCCAATCTCACTACCAGATGAAATATTTGTTCTGCACTGAATGTCATATTCCATAAATAAATTTCAAAAACGCTTTAACAAATGTGGTGTATCAAAAAGAGTCACTATTTCTTTGTTGTGGAATGTAAAATGGGGTTCTTGCATATTTGCACCCAAAACAGACAGAACTCGCCAATTTACTTCATCCATGTCACAGACTATTGTAGATATATTTATTCCAGCCTGAAAGCACTGATTTAAGACCTGAAATTAAAAATGAAATATAATTTACTGCTGTTGAGATTGTTTAGTCAACATTTTTAGATAATAAAGAAAACAAAACATCATATAAAGTACTATAAACTACCTTTTTCATTAGTACCGCAAGTCTATTTGCAGTTGAAAATGCACAGGAGAAATAGTGGGTACCATGGTACCATGATCCTGATACCCTTCAATAAAATCATCTTTTGGGTTGTACATTTCTTGGAAGCATCATTGAAATCACCATCATTAAAATGTTTTTCACACAGCATTCTGTGCTCCTTATGTAGCTTTGCCTGGAAGGTCTTTGGCAGGAAACAAATATTTCGCCCACAATGTACTGCTAAAACCAAAAAATATTATTATTAAATACGAATAATATCAAAGTAGTTCTAGTGGTTTACTAACCAATATTCTGTTTATAGATGGTTATGAGAAATAACCTTTATAAGTTGGATAAAGAGTTCTCTTTAAGGTTAGAACTTGAAGTGAATAAATACGTACCGCAAAATGTTCTCGCGTAGTGTTACTATATAGTTTGTGAATGTTCTTTACTGCAGACTTCGGGTTTCGGAAAAATAAATAATTTAATGTTGTCTACGGCCCGTGAGCTGCCGCACTTAAAACATTTCCTTCTATTTTCTTTATCCGCCATTCCACAGCACGGTTCTTAGAGTCACTTTCTCGTATTTCACTGCGGATCAATGTCTAATACTTTGCACAACACAAAACGGACGAAATAAATCTTAATTCGACGTCCTAAGCTCGCAAAATCGTAGAAAAGGAGATACAATTCAAACAAAAACTACAATCAAGCAATCAACCTTGAACGACAATAATGCAACGGCGCCCTTTTTTTTTGGAGTTTATGGCCTGGTATCTAGACATTTAGGCCAAGTCTTAAGTATTTTTATTCGGTTTATTGTAATTTCCCCACTCCTTCATAGTATACTGCTTCACAATATGTTGATGCGTCACATTGTGCAGTTCTTGGGAGATTTTGGCGGCAACTTGATCCAGCAGACAGCTGATAGTTGGCGATGGTATCTAAAGGTGCCTATGCAAACAAACAGCTTATCTTGAGAATCCATCACCATCAGAGCACTTGTTTCACTGTTTCCACTAATAGTTCACATGCGTAGACACTTAATACACAAAATCGCAACACTTTTACATATCAAAGTCCACTTCAAACCATTATTTAAACAATAATACAGGAGCAGCAAACCGCCGCCGGTCAATTTCCCGCCAAAACTCCAACGGCGCCCTATTTGTTTTTAGTGCTACCAGAAACGAATATAATTTTCTACTCATTAAAAATCAAAACAAAAAAACAGAACATTTTTTTTCTCCTTTTCTGTCAATGATATGATAATATAATAACGCAAAAAAATGTGGCAGAGATAGTAATCTTCATAAGAAAAATTTACAATTTGAGAGTTTCTAATTCATATTTAGCAAAATATTACTAATTGTCACACAGGACATTTATCTGACAAATGGCAATAATGAAATTTAGCCCCCGTAGGCATTCCATTCCGCCCATACAAAGTTGACCGGGCCTGGTCATGCTACATATTTATTTATCTATGGACTATGTGCTCATTTGTCACCCTATTCTATATAAAAAAAAAAACAATATATTCATTCATTTGACAAATTTTAAAATAGTGTTGTCATCTATAGCGTAAAATACACCTCCTAGTTTTTAGGGAAAGAACATTCGTGTAACAGAAACAGA